TCAGAGAAGACCGTTGTTTCTGGTGGTAACTGGCAGATCTCTCAGTCAGTGGCTTAGCTAGCTCTGTGTATGTTTGTTGATGTCACTTGTCATTCTCACCCCCTTTTTGTTATGCTGGTCCAGGGGCTTAAACTCAGGGCCTGGGCACTGTCCCTGAGCTTTTTTGCTCAAGACTAGCATTCTACCACTTGAGCTACAGTTCTACTTCTGGCTGTTTTTGTGTCTAATTGGAAATGAGTCTTATCAACTTTCCTGCCTTGGCTGCCTTGGAACCTTGATCCTCAGCTCTCAGCCTCCTGAGTAGACAGGGTTACAAGCATGAGCCACTGGTGCTCATTTCCCATTTTTGTAACAAATTATGGTATGATCAGCAAAAGGTCACTGCCAGCCTTCCTTCCTTCCTCAAATCCCTTCCAGAGCAGAAAGAAATGTTTGTTGTTTAGAAAGAAGTTGCCCAGTCTTTTGTGTTCTGCTGTAGAAAACCAAATGACTAGGCAATATGCCAGCTGCTTTACGTAGTCGTATTTGGTTACTAGAATTTAGAGGAATCGGACTTCCTATGTTTTACCTCACCCAACTAGTAACCAGTTATCACTTTTGTATTTAAAAATTTACTACAAATGTTTATTTGTTAGGTACTAGAGTTTGAATTCAAGACCTCATGTTTGCTAGGCAGATGCTCTATCATTTCAGTCCTTTTGGTTTATTTTGCAAATAGGGTCCCATACTTTTGCTTAGGTTATCCTGGACCATGATCCTCTTATTTATGCTTCCAGTGTAGAAGGATGACAGGTACATGCTACCACAATCAGCTCTTATTGATTGAGAAAGGAACTGAACATTTTTGTTAGGCTGGCTTTGAACCAGGCTCTTCCTGACCTTAGCCTCCTGAGTAGCTAGGATTATAGGCATGAGCCACCATGCTTGGCTTCTGGAAATATTTGTGCAAATGCACATAAATTTTAAATTTGTACTTTCCACATTGTTTTTACAACATGACATGCACACATTGTCTCTTTGTAATAATATTTGATGGATTTTGTGTTTCTACATATATAGAAAGCGCTTTCTTCATTTCATTTATGATGCTGTGGCATAATTTAGTAAAGTAATCTCTATTGATGGACATTTGGATTGTCTCCAAACATTTGCAATTATAATTAATATTGCAATGGATGACAATATTCATACATCATCTCACCCAGATGCAAGTACATATGTAGTAGAAATTCCTGGAAGTTGGATTGCTGAATGCATTTGAGATTGGTTGTGTTCTGTCAAATTCCCAGCAACATGTTAGGTGGGTTCTTTTACTATAGCCTTGTCAAGAGTTTGTTTTATCAAACTTTTGAGGTTTTGTCAAGCTGTGAAATTAAGTAATTTCAATTTAATACTTTTGGTAGCTTCTCATCTTGATACAATTAAAATTGACAAAATTTGTAGGAATGTATGAAGATTTCCTAAAGCCTCCCCTTTTCTCCTCTCTTCCCCCTTTCCTTCCTGTCTTTCTTTCTGCCAGGAACTTGGGTGCTGTCCTTGAGTTTTTTTTTTGATTTTTGCTCAAGACTAGTGCTCTACCACTTGAGTCACAGCTCCACTTCCAGCTTTCTGGCAGTTAGAGATGAGTCTCATGGTCGTTACTGGGCTGGCAAGCTTTGAACCATGATCTGTCTTCTGAGCAGTTAGTATTACAGGCATGAGCCATTGATGCCCAGCTTCTTTTGGGTTTTAATTAGCATTTTCCTAATTGAGGCTGTTGCTCTGAGTTGAGCTGAAGAGATGACTGATGACACAGCCGATAAAACAAGGCAAAGTTCAAGCAAGTGGGACAATCATTCAAATACTGTGTGGCTTCAGTCACTGTGTAGGAAGCAGAAGGAAGGCTGGCCAACTTCAGATGGCTCTGTCACCCAAGAAACCAAACACCAACAGATATAGAGGCTGGGAAGCTACTTCAGGATGGCAGCCTGAACGGGAAGCTGTGTTGCAGGCTTTCCTTTATGTAAGAGTGGAGGTGTGTAGTACAGTGTTGGGCAACCTGCCCTTGGGAACTCTCAAAACGAACCAGGCAGGTATTAGTGATTTATATATGTAATCCTAGCTACTTAGGAGGCTGAAATCTGAGCATGAGTCCGAAGCCAGCCCAGGCAGAAAAGTCTGTGAGACTACTTTCAATTAACCACCAAAAAGCTGGAAGTAGAGGTTTGGTTCAAGTGGTTTAGTGCCAGTCTTGAGCGAAAAAGCTGAGGGAAAGCATGTAGGCCCTGAGTTCAAGCCCTAGTACTAGCTCAAAAAGTTGCCATTTTGAAATAAATATGAGTTGAATATTAGAAAAACACACACATACACACAGAAGCAAAAACAGAGGAAAGACTGGCGGATTGATGGATGGATGACCAAATGGAATAATGATCGGACAGAAGGATGTCAGTCTGTTTGTGGATTTGACATTCTATGTATCAAACCAGCAACTCCCTCTAGGTAGTACTCTATATGTTTCTTTCACTTTATAATCTTGCTTCTTTTAGAAAACTAAAAGCAGTTTTCCCTTAGTACCTACTCTTCTCAACTTTTCCTTGAAGAGTTTTTTTTTTCACTAGATGGTCCTAGGAATCTCACACTATTGTTTATTGTCTCCTTTTTTATTCTAAACTAATCAAATTAATCAAAGAACGCATAGTTTTCATAAACAGAACTAGAAGACTAATAATAAAATCCAATGATTGCTAGTTTTCCTCATTCATCTACACCTCTTCTCTGGACCATCTCCCTACTTCCTTTATCTCTGGTGCCACTTTTGATATCTATGGCCCCTTAGCCTTCACATCTCTGTGTGCAACACACTTGGCAGTGTGCCTTTAAAGCTCCCATCACACCAAGATGTAAGAACCTGGTATTCGGGGCTGGGAAGGTGGCTCAGTGGTAGAGAGCTTGTCTTGCATGCTGGAGCCCCTGGGTTCGATTCCTCAGCACCACATAAGCAAAAAGAAAAAAGCTGGAAGTGGCGCTGTGGCTCAAGTGGTAGAGCACTAGCCTTGAGCTGAAGAGCTGAGGGACAGCGCCCAGGCCCAGAGTTCAGGCCCCACGACCGGACCCAAAAAAAAAAAAAAAAGAACCTGGTATTCCAGTCCTTTCATCTGTGCTTAGCCACATACCCTTGTTTCTATCAAAAGAACAAATCTCCTGAAGAGTTAAAGTAGTACTTGAAAAGAGCGCTCAGGCTTGTCTCTTTACAGTTCAGCTGCAAGCCCTATGAAAACTTCATGGAAGAGTTGGTGCCAGCTTGCTAATACGAAGCACAAAGGTTACCCCAGGTGACATGAAATTGACAATCAGACATGTGTGATCATTCTAGAGCATCCTTCCAGCCTCAAATAAGTTCATCAGCTGACCACAAGATTCAACGGAGCTTATGCAAACCTGAAGAGAGAAAAAAAGTTTGTCTGAAGGTGCTAAGTTTTGTGGTATTTTATTACCCAACAAAAGCTGACCAGTAGCAACGCTTTCAGTTTTTTTTTTCTTTCCCAGTATAGGCCCATTTCCTTATTCTTAAACAACACACAGGCTCTATTTTCATTAGTTTTTTTTTTTTTTTTGGTCAGTGGGAGAGAGACTAACTCAGGATCAGCCAGCCTTCTTGCTCAAGGCTGTCACTCTACCACTTGAACCATGCATTCAACCTAGCTTTTTTCTGGTTAATTGGAGATGGAGAGCAATGTCTAATTTTTCTGCCCAGGGCTGGCTTCCAACTGAGATCTTCCAAATCTCAGCCTCTTGAGTAGCTGGCACTGGGCTCATGAACCAACCTTTGTGTTATCTATCTTATACTGTCTTCTGGTCTTCCTTTTCTCCACCCTCCCAAATATACATGTCAGTGTTCAAAATATGCATGTTCCATGTCCTGTGAGATACATCACTATTTAGTATTTGCTTGAAAACACCTATTATTATCCTCAAATGTATATTATAGCATACTTGACTACATTTTTTCCAAGTTAGTCACACGTTTCATACAAAAGGCGCATAAGTCAAAGATTTCAATTTAATCATTAATTAATGCAAGGCTCCATCCCCGAAGATGCCAAAGCTGGAATATAAAGCATTCACCTACAGTGTTGTAGCAGGAATGTAAAAAGAATGTACAAATTGCATCCAGAGCTTTCTGGAGGGGTAAGATTGAATACGAAGTCCAGTGAACAAGCCTTACAGAGATGGATAGAACACCCCAAAGAAAGGTGGAGAGCTCTCAAGGCTATACAGAAGGGTGTGTAAGGCTGGCTGGTTTTAATGACACAGGTTTTCACACGTTCTTCAAAACTCCCTAGTCTGGGTAAAAACACAAAAAACAAAAAACCTACCCTTTATCTTGCTTCCGATTTCTTTAATCCTTTCTCCTTTGGCAGAGCTGAACAGGATTTTTTCCCCCTTTCTTTTCCCCTCCCTCCTTCCCCCCTCCCCCCCAACAGACTTCAGAGAGAGAGGCGGGTGGACCAAAAAGTAAGCCCTAATCCTCCAGGGAGCCTGGATTTGCTCCGGAGCGGGGCGGACAGCTCGTGGCCACGCCCCTCTCAGTAGACCACGCCCCGTCCTGCAGGCACCACAATCAGCCCAACAATGGATCTACGCCTGAAGGTCACGTGAGCAATGCGGTCTTACAACGTGGCAAGGACTAAGCCCAGAAAGCTCTCCTCGCTCGCTCTCTGCTAGCCACTCCCTCTCGTTTCTCCTTTCTCCTATTAAATGCCTCTTGCCTGTCTCATCTCGGGGATGAAGAACACCCAGGTTCTCCCCAACTTGAACTACCCAAAGTCTACCAGCCGACGCTTACCCTCTGGAGCCGAACAACACTGAGGCGAATTGCACTTTTGATTGGACGAGAGGATCTGTCAATCTCTCATTTTCTTCCAATCAAGACCTGGATTCATCCGGCTTCCCTCTCCCTATTGGTTTACGAGGAGCGGTAGAAGGCAGGAGAGCCGATAAATCGAGGTCCCGCGAGAATTCACTGCGCAGGCGCGAAGGAGCTGGCGGGGCCCTGGCCGAGGGCGGTTTTGAAGACGCGTCGTTTGGCCTTGGAGAGGGCGACCGAGCTGTCTGGGATCAACCTCTGGGCAGAAAGCTTTTGTTAGGGGGACTGGCTAAGAAGAAGTCATGGTGTCCATGACTTTCAAGCGGAGCCGCAGCGACCGGTTCTACAGCACCCGGTGCTGCGGTTGTTGCCATGTCCGCACCGGGACCATCATCCTGGGAACTTGGTACATGGTAAGTGGGGGGGGGCCGCACGGGAGAGCTGGTAGGCCTTGGCGCCCGGCCACGCCAGTGCGCACGCGCGAGACCTCGAGGCGCTGGGTTTGTGGGGCGGGGGGAGCCAGTGCGCATGTGTGGGAGATGGGGGGCGTCCATCCTAGTAAGGGTTGGGTGGGTTGGGGTGGGGCTGGGAGCGGCGGGGACGTGGAAGTTGAGGCTCTTCTTTTAGCTTTTAGTTTGTCCATGTTTTAGCCCCGAACGAAGCCTGGGAGTTTGTTAAGAGAAGTTGTCGGGGAGTCGCGGGGTGGGGTTGGATCGAGGGAGGTAGTTCTGCCTGGAAAACCGGAGAAGAAAGAGCGAGTGTGGAGAGACGCGGCGTTCGGGGCGGAGGGGTGCCGGGTTTGGGGGGAGTTCCGGGAGTTCCGCAGTTTGGGCTCTTTGTGCCCTGCGATGCGAACGGCGCCCCTCGCCCCCTCCCACCCAGCGCTCCCTAATGGGACAGCCGAGAGCGGGCCGGCGTTGTCTGGCCTGGGGGGGGGGGAGCCGAAGACTCCAGCTGTAGTCGTGTGTGTGTGTGTGGGGAGCCGAAGACTCCAGCTGTAGTCGTGTGTGTGTGTGTCTGGCCTGGGGGGGAAGCCGAAGACTCCAGCTGTAGTCGTGTGTGTGTGTGTGTGAAGCCGAAGACTCCAGCTGTAGTCTCGTGTGTGTGTGTGTGTGTGTGTGTGTGTGTGTGTGTGTGTGTGTGTGTCCAGGAGGATTCTGCCTTGAGTGCTGAGGGGTTCCAGAACTACAGCCTCTGATGATTCGAGAACAAAGATAAAAGATTGCCTTGGCGGGGCCTTCTGCCAGGATCCCCGGGGCCACCCCTGCCCCCGTCCCCGTTTCCCTGACCGGATTTGTAAGAGACGTTCAGGGAGAGTCTACTCTGTTCCCGCCACATAAGCTGGAGATTCTGGGGTTTCCAGATCCGCGCGATTCTATGAGAACCTTGAGGATGGCTGCCGATCATGGTTCAGTACTTCACCCATTTGTGATTTCTTACTACAATCCCTAGGATCCCTTCACATGGAAACTGTTTTACGTGTGCCTTCTAAAAATGTTGTTCTGTTAGACGGTTTTAGATTATTGCGACTTCTCTGAAACTTTGACCAAGTTTGGCTAATGGCGGTGATGTGGCCGGTGTGGGATGAGGAAGGAAGCTTAACTGATAGCTGTGGAGGTCCTGGCAGTTCTGTGAACAGCAGATGAAGGGGGAGATTTATCCCAGGCTCCCCCCCCCGCCCCGCCCCCCCCCCCGCATTTTGACTTTCTTTGTACTTCTACTTCCCCATCCAGGATCTTCAACTCGTTAGTAACTATTTGGACAAAAACAGATGAAAATCTTCAGTCAGGCAGTGTGTCAGGACCATCAGATCTCCACATTATTCCTGAACACCCTTGTTTTTACAGCCTTGCTTTGTTAATGTACATTAGGAAAGAAAAGCCACAAAACTTGAACGTGCAGTTTTATTAGTTTGTACTGAGGTTATTGTCATGTTTCCATACGTTTGTGCTTAGAAAGTCATGCTATTACTGTATAACTATCACTTTTCCCTTAAGCTCTCCCTTGCTCTGTGTTTTAACTGATTTGTAATACTGGATGTAGAATAAATGACATTCAATTGCTTTCTTTTTATTTCCTTTCCATTTAGCTATAGGATTGAGTCTTTAATTTCTTTTGTTTGTCCTTAGCTCTGCCTTCCATTCCCCTCAATGATTAGTTCGTATCTTTAGGATCCTCACGCCTTATTCAACTCCAGCTTCCTTCTACAAAATGACCTTCCCTTCTCTAGCTGAGAAAACAAGAGTCTGCCAGCCTGGGACTCTTGCCTGTAAACTTAATTTTCCTGTTTCTTCTCAGATCTTTCCCTCCACTCACAAAGGGTTTCTAATTTCTCAAGAAGAAAATAGCCACCATCCCAACTTCAGCTATTCAAATGCAGTTGGCTCAACTTCTTTCCAGTCTTTGCCAGGCAGATTTTTTTTTTAAATGCTGTCTGCTTTAATAAGAGGATAAAGAGGGACTTATAAACAGGAAACCCAAAGTGCAGTGAGAAAAATTTGAGTAAGGGCGTTTTTTCCCTTAAAAAAACAAGGAGTGAGGAATTTTAAGTCTGTTCCCTAAAGAAGCTGTTGTTGTGAAAAACGTTTCTCTTCCTTACCTTAACTTCACAATTTAAAAGATGCCATAGTTGTTTTTACCTGGCAAGACTTTGAGTTTGTATAACATTGTAAATAGCTTAAATCAATCGACTTAAATCAATTAAGCTGTTTACTGACCATTTTCAATGTAAAAGGCTATGGTAGTCATATAAAAGGGATAAATCACAAAGACTGGGTGTACTGTTTATCATTGTATTCCTGTTAACTTGCTACATGGTAGACCTAGATATGGGTGGCATTGGCCCTTAAGATATTTTGTAGCATTACAAAGTATTTGGAGCACAGACAAGAAAATGCAACTTACCCTTACAAATTAAGGACTGGGAAAGCAACTGTTTTTATTTATTGCAGCATTGCTGGTGACTAAAAACTGTAAGCTTCAGTACATACAATGGAAAGATAATTTTTGCTAGATGCAGAGACGTGAGATGTAAGAGCCCAAAATATAGTACCTCTAAATAAAGACTTGATGGAGGTGAGGTAGAATGTCACTTCCCTCCTGATTAACTGTGTCATGGTTCCCTCCCTAACTTCCTTGTCCTGGTTTGCTGTTCCTTCATTCTGAGTGAGTCAGTACTTACTGTCTGTGGGGGAATATGTATGGCACTTCCAGCTTGTGTTGACCAGGAAACTTTAGGTGCTGTTTAGAACTTGGAAATTCAACCCTCCCTCTTCTGGGCTCAGACACTATCTGATATAGTGTCTCTGCTTTCTAATACCTCTTTTCTTGGTCTTGTCTTAAGGCAGTTGTAACACTGTATACTGATGAGTATTTGGTATTGAATAGTCCTTGCAGGAAGAGCATAGAGAAGCCAGTACCAATTCTGTGTGCCAGAGTTACCAGCCCTGAAGTTAGCATTTGTCATTTTAGATTTGAAAGAAACCTGCCTAGCTTAATACCTGGTTAAGTAATATGAAATTCCAAAATGAATGCATTTAAATTCTTGCATTCCTAAAATTGTTTTCTGTCATTATTAAGGAATTTGAAGCTGGATTATTTTAACCAAGTTTCTTATGAGATGTAGGCTCAAATGTTTATTGAATGACTAAGGGTAGGATTAAAAGGCTACTGCCAGAGGTATTTTTCTGTATAACTAATGGTGTGACTCAGGAATACATGAGAAACATTTGTAATAATTGTAGGTCTTGGAAAGATGTCATATATAACTAATTTTTAATGCATGTCTCCCCTTTCAGGAGTCAAATGTCAGGTTGTTGAGAGAGAAGTGAAGACATGTCCTCAAGCAGTATGCCCCTCCAGCCAGTTAGTATCTTTCTTCAAACACTTCACTGCCTTTGTGTATGCTATTTCTTCTCCAAGTGCTCTTCTCCCCCAATTCAGTTTTTTAAAACTTTAATTATTAAGGAGCTTAATTAGTGTATCTTTTATTTTTCTCTCCATGTGAGATGTTCTCCAGGATTAGGGGAGTAGCTCCAGTGGTAGAGTACTTGCCTTAGCATGCATGAGTCCCTGGGTTCAATCCCAACCACCACAAACTAAAAAAGTGCCCCTGGAAGGTGGTGGGTGATGTCTTAACTCTCTAAAATGTGTGTAGGAGTTAACTTACTGATTAGATCATTTGAGATAATTTTTAGATATTAGAGGGATGCATTGTCCCCTCAGATTACTAGGGACAGCTTGGTTGTAACTATATATAGTAGTAAACAACAAAAATTCTCTGTGTACATTTAATTCTTCTAAAGGTAATCAGTTTGGTCTTTTTTTTTTTTTTTTTTTGGTCCGGTCATGGGACCTGAACTCTGGGCCTGGGCGCTGTCCCTCAGCTCTTCAGCTCAAGGCTAGCACTCTACCACCTGAGCCACAGCGCCACTTCCGGCTTTTTTTCTTTTTGCTTATGTGGTGCTGAGGAATCGAACCCAGGGCCTCTGGCATGCAAGGCAAGCGCTCTACCACTGAGCCACCTTCCCAGCCCCATCAGTTTGCTCTTTATAACAGTAGTTCTTTGCTTAGAACCCTGTGGGAGTTTTCAGCCTATGAAATCCTTAATTGTGAGGCCTTGAAAACAAACACTCCTTTTTTTTTTGTTTTGTTTTTGGGTCCGGTCGTGGGGCCTGAACTCTGGGCCTGGGCGCTGTCCCTCAGCTCTTCAGCTCAAGGCCAGCGCTCTACCACTTGAGCCACAGCGCCACTTCCGGCTTTTTTCTTTTTGTTTATGTGGTGCTGAGGAATCGAACCCAGGGCCTCTGGAATGCAAGGCAAGCGCTCTACCACTGAGCCACCTTCCCAGCCCCCAAACACTCCTTTAATTGAAGTCTTAGCAGATAACTGGGTTGAGACGAAATAATGCTGTGGGAAAAATTTTTAAGTCCCCCATTCTCCACGATAAGCCACAAATCTAGTCTCAACAAAAACTGTAATTGTAGCAAGTAACTTTTCTCTCCACATGCAGCCAAACAAGAAATCAGTATTAGGAGAAAGTTTTAGGAAAGCTTGTAAGCAGATGGATATTAAACAATCTTCTCTTAATACAAGGACTGATGAGGCCAAGAAGACTTCAAAAATGAACTTAAAAATTTCTTGAAACAAATGAAAATCTGCAGAACACTACAAGAGTGGTACCAAGAGGAAAGCTCACAACAGTAAATGTCTACAGAGTAGAAAGCTGCCAGGCGCTTGCTGGCTCATGCCTGTAATCCTAGCTACCAAGGAGACTGAGATCTGAGGATTACAGTTCAAAGCCAGCCCAGGCAGGAAAGCCCACAAGAGTGTTATCTCCAATTAACCACCAGAAAACTGGAAGTGGTGCTGTGGTTCAGGTGGTAGAGTGCCTGCTTTGAGCTGAAGAGTTGAG